GTTTCCATGGGAAGATCTGGGGAAGGATTCCAGGGGACGCGCCAGACCTGTCGTGCAAAGAGATGCGAAGCAGCTACAAAGCTTCAAACAATGTTTGCTGCCAGCTTTAAGCCAAATTACCCCAGGGCATCATTTCCATCCACCCAGGACAGGCTGCAGCATGCTACCAAGTGCCCAGCCCCTTTGCTTCCCAGGCAGGGGCGCAGGACAGCAGGATCCTACCCTTCCCTTGGCAGCAGTTCTAGGAAGCAGCAGGGCTGGGGGCTGGAGATGTGCTAAGACCTCCCAGGGACCTTTGTAGAGGCTCAGCTCATGTGGGGAGGCCACGCTTGGCCGTGGAGTGGAAGGCACTGTTGAGAAGGGGCTGGTGAGTCCCCGCTGCTATGGTACCTGTTAGGCTCACATGGAGTGACAGTGCCCTTGATGGGTCTGTTATGGAGTAGTGCAGGTGGCAGGGCTACTGAGATCACAGTAAGTCAGTAAAGCAGTGTCAGGCAGGGCTGGGGGTGCTCTTGCTGGTGACTCTCCAGAGATAAGCCTGACCTTATTGGCAAACACCAGCAGCATCACCCTGTGAACACTGCCAGCATTGCCCTGTGTGCATGGCCAGCATCACCCTACAAGCACTTCCAGCACTGCCCTTGAGACGCTGCCAGCACAGCCCTGTGAACACAGCCAGGCATCACCCCATAAGCTGTGCCAGTCAGCATTCTGCAAGCATATCCCTATTGACTGCCTGGGGACTTTGCCACTGGGACGGAGCAAAGGCACCAGCACTCACACCCTGCCCTTGGATCCCTCGAGGTGATGTGAGAGATGCTGGAGCTCTGCTCCACGAGGAAAGCATTCACACCAAGCAGCCCAGCACACATGAGAACTGCTGTTCCCAGCAGGGCTGGACACGCCGGCTGCCTGGGAGCACTGCGGCACAGCGCAAGCTGGTTTGAATGAACCACACACACTGAGGTGCTTGTCAGGCTCCTCACACATGGAAGCAGTGTTGGTAGTGCAGTGGGGGACCGGGGGCTCTGAGTCCCAAATGTGGTGATTGTTCCACATCTGTACACACAGAACCTTCCCCAATCACTCTGCCTGGAGCCATTCATAACCCTCCTCAAGGAAGACGCATCGGAGGGATAATTTACTGTTTAATTAACTGACCCTGAGCCATGCAGGACTGCAACCAGGAGCTGTTCCAGCAGAGATCCCACCAGCAGCTCCCACCGTGAGCACAGTGTCAGTGTGGGACCCAGCACCCAGATCCCAGTGACCACACACTTGCACAATTTATGAGCTCCAGCATGAAGCCCTCGCAGGAGATGGGCAAACAGAACTAAACATGGTAATTTATTTACACCACGAAAAAATAATAGTTCATCTAAGCTGATGAGGCTGTGAAGCCCAATAACTGGTCTGGCTGGTGCCAACATCTATCGCTAGCAGTGTGTGTGTTTTTGTCTACAGCGTTGCCCTAGGCAGTGAGATACAGTGGCAGCATGACAGCTCCTAGGCACACATGATAATTTAAAGGAAAAAAATATCCTATTTCATCTCTGAACCAGGGCAGAACAGTTTGGGGAAAAAAAAGAATCAAGACAACTTGCAAACATTGATTTAGATTGCAGTGACACTCTGCAGAACTTATTTGCAAGTCTGGGCAGTGCACTTTAAGATAAAAACTGTTTAATGAAACGAAGGAGGAGTGCTGCTTGTTTGCTTTGTAATGTCACTGCTGTGCAGAAGGAGTGACAGGCCAAACCAAACAGGCTGACGGCTGAGATCCCCCCCAGGGCTGTACCCTCTCCCCACGCTTGGGCCCAGCCATACAGCCAAGCATCAGCGTGTGGGTTGTGGTTCCAAAGGCTAAAAACGACTCATTTTTAAAACGATGTAAGCAGACTGAAGCTGTCGCTTTGAATCACAGCTGCCTGGTGTTATCAGGGAGGCGATATTTGGATTTGCAGTGTTCAAAATAGCTGCTGTGAGTTTTTGCAGCTCTTTGTTCAGCATTTTCAAAGCCAGATGCGTCTCTCTGGACCCCCAAGCCCACTTTCAAGTGCAGAGAAGTCCGTGTGCTCTCCCTCCCCGAGCTCAGGGAGATGTGGGTCCCTCGGCACCCAACCACAGCCCCAGAGGAGAGCTCCCACTTGGAGCAGACCCTGCAGAGACGGCGCTGCTCCCCAACGCCTCTCCTGCTTGATTTTCAATTGCACGGCGAGGATGTTAATGAGTGTCTGAGCCACGGCAGGCAAGCCCAGGGCATTTCAAATGGAAGAACTTCACAGGGAAATAATCTGCATAAAATCTGAGACACCATTATTAAGAAGGAAGTGAAAATGCAGGCAGAAAGCATCCTCCCTCAGCAGCCGAGAAAGGAATGGTTCTAAAGAGAAAAATGTATTCATTTGATCCATTATTTATATAAAGTGCTCTTTGTAAACCTTATTTCCCATCACCCCAGCTGACAGCGGGGGGAAGACAGGAAAGGAAGAGGCCCAACTTTCCACCTCTGGGGGAGGACAGCCTGCCTGCGCACCCCGTGTTGTGCTCAGATCCCGCGTGGGGGACAGGCAGCAGTGCCAGGGGAGGACAGAGCCGTGGGCAGACAGTGCCTCTGCGGCTCCAGGAGCAGTGCTGGGGTTGTGAGCAGACAGTTCCTTCCTTTTGAAGGCGGCTGCACCGCTGAGCCCTCCCTGTCCCACTGAAACTGCTTCAGCCGCTCAACAAAACCACTAAAAATAAAAGCATTTAATATGGGGTTTTCGCATGAACACACGGAAAGGCAGCAGTCTGAAACAGTACATACATAGCATATATAAATAAGAACAAAGATTAAAAATGCTTTGGCAATGAGATACTCTGGGAACAATTAGCTCCGGGAAGAAGGAAGCATCCTTGTGAGGCATTGCACAGAGCAGATAAATGAACACATCCAGACATGACTGTGGAGCACTGTGAACGTGGGGCTGTGACAACCAAAGGGTCCTAGGGGCTGAGTCCCCGCTGGTTGCTTCCATCCTCAGCATGAGCAGGAGAGTAGCATGGGCTAAAGGCAGGGCACCGACCCCAGGACCTCTCCAGGAACTGCACCCGTTCTATTTGCAATGGAAGGCATGCAAGACATGCAGAAAGTATTTTCTTGGGGCTAAACAAATTTCAGCAGTGCCAGAAGCCAGTCGCTGAGCTAGAGCTGTCAGCATAAGGGCTGACACTGGAGAGCAGAGCTACTTTCCTCTTGTCTGTACAGGAGCAGTGTATTTAGCCAGAGGAATGAGAATGTCTTGCAAAGCCAACATCCAAACAGAGATACAGATATGTCCGAGTACGCTAGGAGCAAGAGGGAGAGAGAAGGGATGGGATGAACAGAAACATGGCAGCCCTAAATGCAGGAAGAGCAGAGGCAGCAGGAGCAGAGCCAGCTGCTCACACACTGTCACCCCACCCCGGGCTCTGTTCCAAAGGGAAGCTGATGTTCCCAGGGCTCTGCCAGCAGCACACTGCACTGCAGGAGGCTGCAGGGATGGGGCAGAAGTGCATTCAGCCAAACACACTGTGCCCTTCAGAGAGGAGCACAAAGACAGCTTCAGCCTCTGGAGGGATGGATTACAGACACATCCAAACAGCACATACTGTTACCGTAGCAAACAGCCTCTGCCCTTCTTCACAGCATCCTCACCTGCCTGGTCCCTGAAGAACCAGAGCTTTCTTTGCTGTGACAGAGACTTCTAACACCAGGAACTCACAACTCCCACATCTACTGTCCCACTGCCCCTTACATTTCCTCCACTCTGGGGTCAGACTGGGGACAGGCACTCCCAATAAAGTACCATGAACGTCCCCTTGGACATAGCAGCATGAAGCACAGAGCTTTGTAGCTCTTAGAAAAAAAAAAAAAAATAGCAGTACAAAAACATGAATAACTCCACTAAGCTGCACAGGGCTCCAACACCCCATTCTGAGCCAGTCAGACTGAACTCCCTGCTCACATCCCCGTATTCACACTTCCTGCCACCAGTTGTCTCCAAAAGCTGTCAAGGACAGAGCTCTAACTCCTGCCGGCTGCTGGTTCTTAAAGATTAGAAGACAATTATAATTGGATTCCAGAGATTATTTGCTTCGCCAAGAAGGGCTGAGAAGTGTTTAGATGGTTCCTCAACTGATTAAATCTTTATTTCACAGTAGTGACCCTGCGTGTCTCCTACCCCAGCGTGCTTGCAGACAGGTACTTGGCAAGATTGGCTCACTGGAGCACTCCAGCTTAACAAGACAGCTGACAATGGCCAGCTGTGATGGGGTTTTATCCTGTCTCGAGATGGTTTCATCTCATTTCTGCAGCTCAGGGCAAAAAGCTAAACCTGGCTCCAGCCCTTTCTCCCAGTTTAATGATTAATCAGCCAGCCAAATACCTTGAGCCAAAGCCTCTGGCACCATTTGCAGCAGATCACAAATGACTGGAGCCCTCTTGCACCTCTTGTACTGCTGCTGTACTGTGCAAGCTGCTACCAGATTCTGCCTCCTTGAGACATGCCAGCATCTGAAGGCTGGGCTGCCCTGCCCCAGGACAGATTTTGCCAGCCTTCTGTCCTCACATATAAGTGCCCTGTGGCACTTAGCTTCCCTGGAGGAACACAAAGCAAAGCCTCTCCTTGCTCAACATGCAGAGCCAGCAGCAGCACAGGAATGCAGAAACACGAAGGCAGTGTGCAAGGACTGCCTCCAGCTCAACCTGAAACAAAGTAGTTCAGAAGTGGCTTTCCCCATGCTCTTTGTGAAGTGGTGGCACCCAGACCCTCTCCTGTGCTCTGTACCACTTTGTGCACTCCAGCCCTTCAGGGACAACAAGGCAAGAAAGACCCCGTGGGAAGCAGAGGTCCTAGGAAGCACAGAGGATCTGGCTCCAAAGGAGGTCAGGAGGTAAGGTTAACTGTTGGGATGCAGGTAAAGGTTGGAGTCCATTGTTCTCACTGCTAACAGAGGGAAGGAAATGAAACAAGCTTATGTTAAAAACTCAGAGCAGAAAGAGTTAAAAAAAAAAAAAACCAACAACACACAGTCTAACAACATCACAGAATGCTGGGAGTGCAAACATGTCCCTGCAATACAGAGGGGTCTCTGTGTAAGCAAGCTCTCCAGCTCTTCCCAGAGCCAGCAGGTCAGACATGCTGCACAACAGCTTTTGGTTAGATAGTGGTTTGCCCCATAATGAATGAAATAATATTATTTATATACAGAAAGAAACAAGTCCCTGCAGACTTTGCAGAGGTCCAGTTTCAAGAGTGCTGGCACGTTGGTAAGGGCTACCGTGAGCCTGCAGCACAGCCTGCTCAGTGCAGCACATTATTCACAGCTTGTGAGGCTGGGCATTCCCCACCCAACACTGGTGCAAAGCGATTCAGAGGGATGATGAATCCTTGGAAAGCAGGTGGGCTCGCACGCGTCTACAGGACTCCTGCAGCAGAGAATTAGAGCAATTGAGTGCTTGAGACATAGAACGTCATGCAAGTGATGTTATCCTCTCCCCCTGCAAGGACTCCTACTGGAGTCTGCCTGCACGTTTACTTTTTCCAACTATTTACCAAAGCAGAGCAGAAGACAAGAGGCAGTGTGCAGACAATGCCATCCTGACAGGCTGTTAGCACCAGTCCGTGCTGCTAGCTGCCCTCCCACCTCCCATGACAACCAGCCTGCCAGCTCGCAGACAGAGGAGCTGTACATCCCTGCTTGGATGGAAGTCGTCAAGGTCTGGTGCCCAGCATACCATCTGCTTGGCATGGAGCAGACTGCTGCAGCCAGAGGACCATAGCAGCCACAGCCAGAGGCAAAGCCTCATGAGCGTGGCATCACCTCTGTAGGTCTCTTTGTCCTTCAGACGACATCTCAGAGGGCCAGGTTCTTACAGGAAGAACATGTACATTTGTATCTCTCACCTCTTTTTGGCCCTCCAATGATTTCAGTTTCCCTTGGGACACGTGAGCTGGAGATCCACATTTCTGTAACTGAACAAGAGAGAGGAATAGGAGCAGAGATAGGGAATTAAGTGCTATCTGCACCCTTCTCTGGGAGCTACCTGTACCACCAGAGAGCAGCTACAATCCAACCCCACTAACGGCATGTCCGGCCCAGGGGACAGACCTATCCAGAGGCAGCTGGCTGTGTACAACTTGTGGATGAGGATGTGAGAGGGAACGGGGCACAACTCAGTGCTACAGAGCAGGAGCACAGATAATGCCAGAAGGAAAACTCTGGAGTGGAGGTCCAGCACTGCCACCCATGCCTTGACGGTATCTTCATTATCTCTGCACTGTTCTCCCCAGAGCAGCTTCCTAAGGCCTTATCTGATCATGCAGAAGAAACTTAGAAATCTTGTCTTGAGCAGAGAACAGTGAGCAGCCCCCCAGGATCACTCAAATGGGTGCCCAAGTTGCAAACAAACTCCCTTCCCACATGTTCAGCAATGTCAGCAGTGCTGGGAGCAGCTCTTACCAGATGGACATTCTCTTTGCTGACTCGTTTGGGCTCCGGTGTGGTATCTCTGCTCTTCCTCTCCTGTATAATCGGGGTTCCCAAAACCTTCCTCTGCCGCAAGAAGAGAGGCCTGTTTGCTATTGCTTAGAGCACAGAGAGGAAAGGAAATGGAAGGAGCAAGATGCACAGCTGATAAGCAGTTGGATGCTGGGAAAGAAAAGAGGAAGCCAGGCTAGAACAGAGATTGCAAAGCAGAACCATCTGAAATAACATGCCACCAGGCTAAGCCTGCCTGATTCTGGAGAGTCTGGGAGCTGACACAAGGCCTGGCCAGGAGCCCAGACACAGGTACATGCTGCTGCAGGGCAGCCTACAGTGTGCTCACACCTGTGCTGACAGACTACATGACCAGCTCCATGTCAATCCTCATCTCATGTCAGGAAGCAAATAGGCCTTCAGAAAGATGCACAGACCCTACGGCCAAGCATTTTAGCAGAGCATTTCATAGACAATTACGCCTTATACTAGCAAGGCTTATTTTCACTGTGCTACCTTTTTGTCCCGAGCAGATCTGTATTGTTTAGCAGCCAGTACTTTGAACAGTCCATACTTTTGAGGGTTGTATTTAAGACAGGGCAAGGCAAAAGCAGAAAGCAACATCAGAAACTCACAGCAGAGAGCAGGGGTCGGAGGCTGTCCTTACCTTAATGAGGCCGCTGAAGGAGCGCGAGCGAGTGCGTCGTGGTGCTGGGGGTGTGGCCACATCAGAGCTGGGAGTGAGAGCTGAAGGATGCTTATTGAACTAGAAGGAAACACAGAGGCAGAAGGTTAGCATAGTTAGTTTACAGTTATACCAGCCCCTTGCTGCTGTATGCTACTCTACTGCTGCCCTCTGGCTAAGTCTCTGGTTGGTTTTCCCACACCCTCAAATATAGAAGCAGCTCATAGCCGCAGGGGAGAGGAAGCAGAAGAAGGCTGCATCTCCCACACAGGATTACAGGGAGCTCGGGGTTTATGTGGGATACCAAGTTAGAGGCTAAAGCAGAACGGAGTCAGGGAAGGAGCCAGAGGCTTATAGCCAGGACAAGCGCTGTCCATGCCACACAACCCCTCTGGAGCAGCACGTTGGCTGGAATGCTCACCAGACTAAAAGAGACCATTTTGTCCCAGACCCTGCAGCAAGAGGAAGGAACTTTTCCCTTCCTGAAGCAGAAAGATCAATAAAGTCATAATTAGGACTGGGAAACTGCCGGCTGGCAAATTCCTGGCTCAGAAAACAGCTCAAAGCACAGATTGGTGCAGCAAGCTTCACTGACAGGCTACCTCCTCCCCTGCCTCCATCCAGTTCTGCCTCTTACAAAGCCCAGAGCCCATGCTCCTCAGCCAGCCAAGAACTAGGGGCAGCTCTCAGGTGGGCCTTGCCTTTAGCCCTGTGCCCAGAACTGTGCTGACAAATGCACCCCAAAGAGATCTTTCCTTCCCACACTACCTGCCGGATGAGCTTCTTCTTCTTTGCAGAGTCAGGCATATTGTGTACATGGCGAAAGAGCTCCCTCAGTGCCTCCTCTGTGCGCTGCTGGGTCTCCTCCTGATGGCAGGAGTCCAGACGGCTTCGCTTCTGAGACTTGAGGGGTTGCAGTTCCTTGGAACCAGGAGATGTTAGCAAATCCAGGTCATCCTGGGAAAGCGGAGACAGTAATCGTTTCCCATGCTTTAATCCAAGTGAGCCACCCATCTGAGTCAGGCTGGGAAGTCTCGTGAGCTGCCTCACCCCAGTGAATGCACAAGGCTGTGTTTTCCCTACCCCTCTGCAGCAGCACTGCACCAGCAGGCCCCGTGCCAGGAACAGGTGATAGCAATTCAAAGGTGACCCCCACTGCTTCTTCCCTCCCTTCCTGGATGCCAGCTGCAAAAGCCCTTCCAGGTTTGAGAAGGGTCAGTGAGGCTCCTTGCAAAGCATCTGCTTTCTTCTGCAGCTACGAGGCAGAGAAGCATTTGCTAGAAAGAAGCAGACAAATCTTTCCCCAGTGGCAGAAAGAAGCCTTTGTCCCAGCCCCAAGCAGCCTGGGCATGGCAGCAGATGTGTCTGTCTGGAAGGCAGGACTCCATGAAGGAGCAGGTGCTGGATGTACTGGGCACAGAGAACGGGTTTGCTGCTAAAGAGGAGCTGGTAGTTTTCCCTGTGCTTTTGATTAACAGATGCTTCAACTCTGCCCAATTTCCCTAATGCAGTTGCCTGCACTACCACACCATATGGTTCCCTCAGTCCTGCTCTCTATCAGATCCTCTTTCATGGTTTCATTTGTTTTCAGCTTCTTTCACTCACAAAGGTCCCTTCACAGTACCATGGCCTCTGCCCTTGGAGGGCAGGCACCACAATTGCTGGCCTTACCTTGGATGTGTGGGCTCTGGATCCCAGGTAATGCAGCCTGGCACACTCCCTGATATAAGGTGGGGCCTGTGATGATGGACAGAGAAAACATATGAATAATATGCTTGACCCTGGGGCAAGGGCGGCTGCACCAGGAGCCACTTTTCAACCATGCAAACAAGCCTTTTCCATCAAGAAAATCTGCTGTTTAGGACAGAAAAATACAATGGGACTTCATGTCCTCAGTGGAATCCCTGCTCAGAGTTTCCATTTGATGCATGCAGCCAACACTAGGAGAAAACAAAATAAGAGCTAGGTTCCACAGAAGTTATGTCCAAGCAATTCCTCCAGCTCTGAGCTGGCCATACAGGAGTCTGACAAACAAGGCAGAAAGGGAGCTCTTTTTGCAGAGGGTGGATGTCTAGAGTGACCTGTAAGGTCCTGGGAAGTCAAGAGACAGCCTTCTGCAGAAACACTTCCTTGAAGAAACCTGTAGATTCTCCTGTCCTACCACAGCATCCTACTCTGAGCTAGAGAGAAATGTCCAAGACTGCAGACTTTGCCTATAACAGCAATGGCCAGGTGCCACTTGCAGAGAAGATGTATTGAGGATGCAGCTCCTGGCGGCGCTCACCCGGGCCAAACCCCTCCATTTTCCAGCACTCAGGGGAAGCCTGGTCACCAACTGCCCCAAGGAAACAGGTTTCCCAGCCAGGAATCAGGTGCTGGGTGTCCAGCAGAGGGTGGTATTACACTGCACCGTGCTTCCGACCTGCTGAGGCGCAAAGGCCACCTCCAGGCTGTCTTCCTCTCCCTGGGCTGCACGCCCAGCAAAGACTTCCTCTCAATAAGGGAACAGCTTCTTGCAGAAATCATGCTCTCACTCCAGAAGAGAGCACCCAGAATATACCCCTGCCACCTGGGACCTGTGTGGGTAAAGGGCATTTAGACTCCCACAGAAAGGGCAGGGAGGGCGAGACCCCAAAGCACAGTCACCTTGAAGAGTTTCTGCGAGTGTTTGATCATGAAGGTCACTCCGTTGTTTAGCTTTGTGATATTCTCTTGCAGGTCATTTGCTGTCACCTGGCAAGAGGACAAAGGCACAGCTGTTAGAAGGGAAGTAGGAATTGCAAATGAAACTTAGAGTGGGCTTGGGCTGAACACAAAGACTGAATCCAGCCAGACAGCTCCATATCACCACCAGCCTCCAGCCTCTCAAATAATTGAGAGCACAGTCTTCCCATACGGGTTCTTCCCCTGCAAGCTTACTGAGGTTCTGCTTTCAACCTAGCAATATCCCACCAGCAGATACTGAGGTTACTCACGTTTCTGGGCCATAGGATGTGGGGTGCAAACATGAGGGCGAGATTGTGGGCAGACATCTTGTTCTTATCCTGCTTCTTGGCGGTCTGGTAGAGCAAATCCAGCAGCAGTTTGAGCAGGCTGCGGTTGGGCGCAGGGAGGATCAGGAAGAGCAGCTGGAGGGCTTCAATTTGGCGCTCTTTGTCTGGAGTGCTGGTCTTATTCCCCTTCTCATCAAACAGCATCAAGTCTGCCAAATCACAGGGCTGAATGTGAAGGACAGCAGGCCTATTGCTGCCTCTTCCCTCCTCCAAAGTCCTGCAGAGCTCCTGACCCTCCATCTCCTTCCCCCAAGCCTACCCACCTGATGTGTTAAGCTGTAGTACTTCTCCCATACAACAACACAGTTGCTAAGAGTTTTGATGGATTGAAGGCAAGGTAAGTTAGTTCAGTAATGGTCTTTAAGAACATATAAACCATTGCCTAGCTCAGGAGAGCCCAGGCTTAAAACAGATGTAAACCTAGGTTACCAGTGCAGACTCCTCTCTTGTGCTGGAGAGAGAAACTGGGCCGGGCAGACCTGGCCCAGTTCCTTAGGTTGTTCAGCACCAGTCTTTCCACCATTAGGTGGAAATGGCAGGAAGACTCCCCCTTACCATGCATGTAGGGTTCGTACTTTAGCATCTCCCACAGCCTAGTGCGCAGCTCTAAAGCATTACCAGCTTTATAGGAGGCTGGCTCCATTCCCTCTATTCATCGCTGCCTCTTGTTGCTTACTCACCTGCAATTTTGAGGTGGGCGTGGAAGTGCTTGTGTGTCAGCAGGGGCTCTGGTAATTCACCCAGGAACATCTTAAGCAAGGTAGCCACATCATTGGAATGAAACTCCCCAGAGTCCAGGTCAATATCTGTACCACTGTTCAGAGCATCCTTTAGGATCTGTTGCCTGATGCTGTTGCCCGGCACCCGAAACAAACCTTCTGCTCGTAGATCTGTTCAATGGAGGGGAGAAAAAAAAAAAAAAGGCCACCAATTATTCAGAGGTTGATTCCCATTTTCTTACTAAAGCAGTACTCTTTGCAGAGCTTGACAGCAAACCTCAGTGAGCTGCATTCAAAGCCATGACTTCAAGTTGATTCCATAAGCAAACAGAAGATGTGCACAGGGCAAAGAGATCAACTCATGGAACAGGCAATCCTGGGGAACAATCACCTAGTTCTGACCCCAAATCCTGCTGATGGAGAACTCTGCTTTCCCCCCTGCCTGCACCGCAGAGATCTGGGGCAGGCCACACAGATAACCCTGGGAATAGGAGGAAAAAGATAGAAACACTTACTTTTGTGCAGATACTCAATTAACTGGGAGACCTGTGCGATGCCTTCTTCTGTCAGTGGGGAGCCAAACACCACTCCTTTCTCTGCAGAACAAAAGATAACGTGTTCAAGCATTTCAGAGCACAACAGTCACAGAGAGGCCCCTCAGAACAGCATCTCAGAATGCAAAAACAGTGCCCCAAAATACTATGAGTGGAGGTCACAGGCACCCCTCACACACGCATGCAGATGCTATCTCACAAGCACTCCCAAATAAGTCACTTCCTCTCACCATGCTGTTTTTACAAGGGCTTCATCATCCTGCTTCTTACCTCAGCTTAATTACAGTTTTTATCAGCTAAGGCAAACATTCTCTAGCTCCTGAAAAGAAACAACACCAGAACAGATGCTTCAGTTTTAAAGGGCATATCATCTGTAAGTCTGAACCCTAAGGGAATAGCAGAGTGGGAAAGATAGATGCAACAGCCCGGACTGCTACAACAGCACTCTGCACACCTGGGAAGAAATGCCCAAGTTAATTCCCACTGTAGATTGACATGGAGCAGAGCAGGAGGAGGTGTAGCTGCCAGATTACAGGAGAGGGGAACACATGCTAGTAGAAGAGAAGGCATGATACCAAGTGAGAAAAGCAGTGCATCAGTTGGTCACACAAAAGTTATCTCCCTCCACAAGCTTTGTCTCATGTCTTTTTTCCCCACTGTGATTTTACTAGCTTTTGGTCTTCTCCATTACAGATCTTACTGTTCTGTGGTGTTGATGTTCACAGCATGTGGGGAAGATCTGGCTAACGCTGTGCACTCCTCTAGCAGCCTTCCTGCACAACTAAATTTATTCCGCCTGAAGAATGTTTCACTTTCTTCCAGGACTTCAGAAATGGTAAGCCACCAGGAACTCCAGCCTCCTGTTAAATCAAGAACTTTCTGACCTCCCTCTGATAAAGCATATGCTTCAGCCTTGCAGGAGAAAGGAGGACAATGTGACCTTTTGATCCGCACGTAAGATTTGAAAGGCCTGAGAGCAAAGGGAGAGAGTGATTGGCAAAAGATTCTTGTCCTTGAAGAAAAACTAAACTCATTAGACATTCAACAGATAGAATCAGTAGTGGCCAGGAAAATAAGAGGAAAATACATCATCTTGAGACATGCCTGACAGATTCGATTTACTTTTGAAGTCAGAAGCTGATATCTGAATGAGAATTTGATTCTCAAAGAAACTTGAAAGAAGTGTTTGGAGAATGGATGCTGAGTTACAAAGGCTTAGATGTTCTGGTGCGATGACTTCTGAAACTAAGCAGCAGCATGAGATTGAGTTTCCCAATGCCCAGAGAAGTTGCAGTATTTGCAGTTTGATCAGCTCAGAGTAGTATGGTTCTTGGCCTCTGGCTTTGAAGAAATAAAACCTGCTTGTTCTAGCTGGTCTGTAATGAAGAAAAACAAATGATGGCTCAAAGATGAAACAGACAATACTTGAAATTGATTTTCTCTGTAAGCACAAACTCCCTTTTTTCTCTGAGTTTGGCCAAGGAGTTCACAGACAGTGCCTGTCAATGCAGAGAGACACTGCCATTGCAGCCTGGGAGCAGAGCCAGCAGACTTGGAAACATCTGCTAACTGTAGCTGCAGTGAGACACATGGCCATGGAAACACTGAATGTGGGAAGGAGCGGAGCTGGAAGGGAGGCATCAGGTCTGAAAGTAGGTAACAGCGATGCTCCAGCAGAGTATGGATCAGTTAAAAAAGAGCTAGAGAAGATTCACAAACCTCCGCTAGAAGGTTTTGACAAGAACAGAGAAGTTTCCATACGCGATAAGAAAAATGTTTAAACTCAGTTACTCACTTGCTCCTGTTTGCCAAGTAACGAGTGCCTGAATGTAAGCTGTCCTGCTGCTCTCCTGAAGCAGAGGCGGGAGCAGCACAGGCACGAGCACAGTGTAACTGCTGTCTGGGGGCAGTGTGAAGAGCTGCTATTATGGAGCAGCAGGGTAAATCACAGCAATAGGCTAATTCTCAATTAAGGATCTGAAGTACTTGATTTGCAGTACTTGATTTTCCCCTGCAGTGCAGTCCAGCCCAGGGAGAGCACATCTGCTGGCTTTGCCACTGGAACCAGAAATGGAGGGCAAGATTCAGCACTGGAAAAATCAGCCCAAGCAGTGTCCTTATAAAACAAGGTGGAAGCTTACATTACCTTTATATTAAGGTTGAAGACAGAAAGAAGCCGTACTCAGGCGTACTGATATCTGCCTTCTCAGAGATGCTCCCAAGAACAGAATTGCTCAAAGGAATTAGAAGTGTTCAGCTCCAGGCTGCCAGCATTTGGAGGCAGCTACCCACAGCTTCTCTGCCAGCAGACAGCTGGTCTAGCTAGCAAACCATGGCAGACAGAAGGATGCAAGAGTGCCCAGATGGAGGTAGTTTGTCTAGTTGAGAGACAGCGTTTCACTGAACTTCTAAAGGAGAATCAGTATCCCCTCGAGTGTGGGCAGAGGTGGGAGAAGGCACATAGAACACCTGTCAAGATATAACAAAACGGAGTAGTACTGTGAGCCAGCAAAGAGGAGAGGATCTGAACACATCTGTGCAAAAAAGCAAAGCTCAGACTTCTGAGGAGCAGGCAGAGCCCACTGTTTCATAACTCCAGAAGAAAGCTCCAGCTGGGTGCTTGCCTCGGAAGACATGATTTCCCCAGGCTGAACCTCTGATCTCAAGTAATGAATCAGCAGAGCTTTGTCACTGGGACCAGGACATGGATCAGAGCTGCCCTGGTGTTTGGATGTGAGACACCTTCCTGTCTGTGCAGCTCACAGATCTGTATGACAAGGCCTTCGGGATAGCTGGTATAGAAACTGGAGGAGAAAGTGGGCACTGAGTGAAGTCAGTGGCCTGTAAAACCTGGGAATTACTGTTCTTCACAGAGCCTGATGTTTGCGGCCTTTATTAATACTCCATCACTAGAGAAGAAATCTAACAAGCTAAGGAAAACAGAGCATGAACTACCATGGACAAAATCAAGCATGCTGCATGCAAAGGCCAACTTGGCTCATATTTTAAGAACCTATTCTCACCCTTGCGTTTCAAAGACATCAGGGAACGAAAAAACCCAGAGGCTGTGCTGTTTGCTCCAGGCAGCTTTGGGTCCTCCTCTCCCATGAGCTGGGCCAGCTCAGCCCCAGGCAGGTCGATGAGCCTGGTGATGTTGCTGACAACCAGCTCCGTGAACACCTCCGGTTTTTCATGGCGCAGCTTTTCCACAAAGAAGTCGGGATTGAAGATAATGGGCTGACTGCGAAGGGAGGAGTCATTGCAGATGACAAGATTGCAGATGGCGTCACTGGAAAAAAAAAAGAGGAGAGAAAAAAATAAAGTAACTTCTCATTGCTTTTTTACAGCCAGCTGGTGTGCCCCAAAGGAGACATCTGCTGACACAGGAGCCTCCAGTCTACGCAGACAGCACTATTGGCCTTTGGTGGGCACTCAGCACAGCACAGATACATTAACCTTTGGAGCAAAAACATTTCTGGACTGTTTACACAACCCAGACCATGGCATGCACACTCCAGAATGCAGTGGTAAAATATGCAATACATGACAACACCCAGCTAAAGAAACTGTCACTGCATCCACATTATCCTTGCTCAGGCAGCTACAACATCCAATATTTTACAGTAACTTACCACTCTGAGTCATAAATAAGTTTGGTCCTGTCTCCATTCCTCCTGAGAAAATCACTCCTAGTGGCCTGAAAGTTTAAATCCCAATCAAAATATTTTTATGGACAGCTTGTACTTATCAGTTCTCATCTCTGTTTCATCATCAAGCTGCCAGCTCTTTGGTTACTGCTCTCTGCCACCTACAGTAACTGCCCAGCTCTGAATCTGGAGTGAGTGTGAACCTATCAGGATAAGCACAAGCCACTCAAGATCAATCCTTGAGGAACTCTTGGCAGCCTTCCTTCTGGTACATCTCTTTTTGGCTCCTCCAGGTCTTGCCTTTTCTTCAGGCTGTCCTTCATCTGACCGCCCAGTTCTCTACTGACACTGACTTTTTGCAGTTGGATAGCTTTTCACGTGGCATGAAAGCCACATGGGAAAAGGATGCATGTGGGACACAGCTCTAGTGAAGGTTACAGATAACACACATAGCCCTAGCACAGGTTAGATAAATTACATTTCCCACGTCTAGAAAGAAACAGTTATCAAAGAGATCACAGTTTAATCAGCACACTTAATCATGTTCATAATAAAGCTTATCCCAGTTTCCATCTACCTCTAGGTCTTTCATTACTGTCTTCCCACTTCTATCTCAAAAACTCACACATTCTGAAGCCAGGCCCACAGGCAAGGGCCCCTCTTTTACCTAAAACAGAGAATTAGTGTCATTCATCTCCAGTCACAAGCCATTGCAGTTATCATACTGTGCTGCAAAGCACGAGTCCGACCGTGCAAGTTGGTGTGCCAGCTCTTCCATGGCTCTGGGCGGAGGCTGCCTACCCACCCAGCTCACACACAGCCTGCTTTCACTGCGTGACATTTTCCAGTCCTTTAATCATTCTTGAGCTCCCGTACAACACTTCCCTCTGTTTCAATATTCCCCCTCAGCTGTGAGCTCCCGCTGAACATTTTCCAACAGCTGCTGCTAAGCACACAGGTAACAGGAATGATGAGTGCATACAGCAGGGATCACATCAGCCCTAGAGGTTCCTGCTGCAAAGCACGCTGCCCCAAAGACCAGAGCCTCCTCAACAGAGCCCATGGCACTGTGTTGTGACCACAGCTGGGCTCACTGCTCTGCACAAGCCTCCACAAGGGAAGGCACCCGTAGCCCTCTGGCCCTAACAGTTATCCACGTGGTTGCTGTATGGCTGAGACCTGGCAGACCGTCTTGGTGTGATTTCCAGGGAGAGATCAGAGCAAGAGGAAGGCTGGGATGGGCTGCACAGGGAGCAGGGTGCTCGCTGCAGTCGCAGGGAACCAGGAACTCAGCAACACTTGCACGGTGAGAACCCCCACAAAGCCCTGTCTCCTTGCACTGCTCCCTGTGGATGTCAGGCTCCTTCAGGGGGATGCAAGGAGGAAGATCTGCGAGGCAGACATAGGGCAATCTGCCAGGCCAGCGAAGATTTCAGAAAGCTCTTAAAGGTTCCCAGCTGCGTTGCTCAGTGGCCTGGAGAGCATGCTGCTGGCTCCTAATGGGGGCCATATTTCCCTGAGTACTTCCCAATACGTTTTTTGGTAGTTTGTTATCTGTCATAAATCAAGACTGAGATGCAACGACTCAATATCTGCTGCCAAAAAGCAACTACCCATCAACCTGATCACATTCGCATTTCATCACGCAGGGCTGCAATGCGTGAGCAAGTGCCAGCTCTGCCCATAATGCGGAGCAAGCCCTTTGCCTGAAACCCATGACAACTCATTCTGTGGCAATACAGATCCTGAGAAGGGTTAATAGTGAGTGTATGGGCCCAGTGACCCTGCCTGCAATGATCCGTGCGCTGTTATTCACTCACTAGCAGTTTTGTTTCCCCACAGAGAAGATATGCAAATACTTTGCAGCAGTTACATCAAGCATCACAGATTATCTGCTCTTTCTGACAATCAGATATCTAGATTCAGAGAAAGGAAATTAAACAATTTTGTCAGCTAGAACTGACTGACGTGAGCCTGCCACACAGACGGTATTAGAGCTGCATCAAGTTCAACAACATTTAATGCAAAAATAAATAGAAAAAAATTAAATTTCTTACATGAGTGCTGAGAGCTTTTGGAGAGGCATTAGGAAGCAGAGACAGGGGAAAGAACTTGCTCCTTGTTTCCAGCAACAAAAGAAACCTGCCTGTCCCAGCACAGCCTATGCAAATCCCACGCATGCTACGAGACACAAGGGCGCATTATTGGGGCTGAAAGGCCCCCTTGGCACACACTGGGCATCAGCCTTCACACAGAGACAAAACAGAAAAGAAAAGCTGGACAAATTGATTCATGTCTCTTGCCAAAGGCTGCGTAGCTGGAGTTTAACGGCAAATAACTCCTACATAGAAACCGGGGTTTTGAATTAGGAGTAGCGTGGTATTAAGTGCTCTCCACCTGTATCTAAGAGGAACCCACAAAACAGCCCCAAATCTACCCTGTGTTTGCCATGAGGAAAGCCGTGCAAACGCATTCCCAACAGCATCCAAGCACAACCGATGTCACTGTGCCGGTGGGACAGCCACCAAGTCCCCACGCCACGCAGCCCGGGAGCCATGCTCGACTCCATGAGCTGGAAGGGCACTGCTCATTGCCACGGCTGCTGTGCCTCCGCTCCAGGCTCCTCATTCCACGTCCCTCCGGATCCCCTCCCGGCAGCTGGAAGCAGCCCTGTGCGCTCTGATAGCAGCACGGCCCTTCAACGAGCCGCTCGGCTCTGAGGTCACTTTCTTAGCAGCTCTTCCCAGTGCTGAAAATCTGCCTTTGTATCGTTATTGCTAATCAAAATGGAAATGGGAGGCTAACCCCTATTCCTGAGCAAAGAGAAAGCCCCCACTGGCTTCACACACAATAGCCCTGCCAATCCCCACTGCTGCACACGCTATAACCTTCAGAAAAAGCCATGTGCCCCATCTGCCGCTTTCCCGTTAAAAAAGGAAGATGGATTGCTTTGCCTACACCCACTTTATGTAGCAGCAGCAAAGGGGAGACAAACATTTAGTTAGTTCATTGCTGGTTTTTTCCTTACTCGCAATTAGAGTCATATTCTTATACACTGCGATCTCAGATTGCTTTATGACACGTCAAAAGACAATACAATAAAGGACCGAATGGCTTCCTCTCTGATCCCATGAATAAAGTCAAATCCCAATGAATAATAAAACCTTGTACTAATAGGGTTGTGATTAAGACAGCAGATTAAAAAAAAAATCAGCCCTATATTGTGCTGAGCTTCTTGCCATTCTGGTATCTTTCAGGAGCAAAGCCTGTGATCCCAGCCAAGCCACAAAGAAAGCTGTCTGTCACACACAGCGTTCTTGCTTCAGGCATGACAGCCCCATCATTTCATGGGGAGTGGATGGTGCAGGAGGTCAAAATCATGATGGATCAATTAATCCCTAAGGTAACTAGATCCAAACGGGGGAAATGCCTTGGAAATGAGGACAAAAGTAAGATTTTAACCGGCACAACCTGGTGACTGCACCTGGGGCGTGAGCAGGAAATTAGCGCACGTGGAAGCAAGTCGTGTTCTGGTGAGTGAGACCTGCCTGCTTCTGAACAATTCAAATATCTGTAGTAGATGCAAGTCGATACACCGAAGGAAGAAGCAGATTCCAGCAGCATGAAATAGAGCATAAGGAGAACACAAATAAGCCGAGAAAGAAGGATGAGGCACCTCTGGGGCAAGAAACGAGCTGCGTTTTTCTAGCTGGGAAAGTGGAAGAGCTGGAAGCTGCAGATTTCAGGGCAGCCCGATGCGCCTCATTCAGCGGGCAGAATGCAGCCCAGCATCACTTTGTGCACTTGGGATGCTGTCACGGCAAAGCTCATGTCTCAGCCACACTGCAGCAGGCGAGTCTTACCAGGCAGGAGAAAAAGGATTAAAGAGCTTTTGAAAATAAGGCAGATAATGGAAGAAAATCTCCCCGTATAATAACAAAATCTTTCGACTGAGGAACAGCCAGGCAAGCAGCTAGCACTGAGCGCACAGCGATAAGCAGACACTGCTGGGGAACACAAGACACAGGGATTCTGTGCCTGGCTAAGCACAAAGGAAGACAGGATGGATGCGCCCAGGCTCGCGTTTCCCTGGGGAGAGAGAAGGAGCATCGTCCCTGTGCTGTGCCAGAGCAAGGAATCAATTAATGAGGGCGTCTGAAGGCAGTATTCCAGAGCCAGATAGGAGCCATCCCATATTTTGCTAAGAGATGAAAGGACCAGAGCGGAATGATGTGAAATCATTTTAAGTACAAAAGGACTAGAAGACAAATTATTTCCTAGATAAAAAATAAAATAAAATTAAAAGAAGTCTGGTGGGAATGGGCTGCAGAGACACGAGAAGTGACTTCACTGCTAAGGTTGCTTTGAGGACTGTACTTGGGACCGACATTCTTGTAAGACAGCATCACAAAGATCACATTCAGCCCTCAGATTTAGCACAGTAACTCCCTATAGGGTGACTGATTTGCCTCTGAAAAATGTCAAGAAAAACACGCAGTGATTTTTGCCGAGGGTTATACTCATGAGGTCTTTAAGGGTAAAGAGAGTCCTTTTGTGATGAGCGCAGAGCGCATAGCACAGTGAGTGCCAAGCCTTGACCACTGTTTCTAGGCTTCATCCTAGTGAGCCGTAATAAAAACTGCCTTTTTTAATTGTTGCTTTGCTTTCTTCACAGCTAAACAGATGACATGGAGTGATTCAGCCTTTTGGCTATGGGAATCAGATAATAATATACAATTTAAACAGCAGGGAACTGGGGAACAAAGCTGCTATTATGTGATAGCAGCCTGTGCTGGACAACCTGGAACTAATGCAGCACTCGGCCATCTTTTGGGCATTGGATAAACTGGATATCCAAATTCGTGCTACCATCTATGAATTCAAATTCTGTCTCAGCAAAAGACTTGAGCAGACCTCAGCCACATTAACTGCACATGTGTGATGCAAACCTAGAGACAGACCTATCCAGGATGACAAAGGGCTGCAAGAGAGGGACAGCAGGCTTGGAACAAACTGAAAATGGAAAACATTACTGATGGCAAACCAGACTGCTTGCAAGGCAGCTTAAAACATCAAGAATTTTGCATTTCAACATGAAATGTTCCAACTTAGACCCCAGAGAATTCTTTTACGGTGTTCTTCCTAAAATCCACTGGTGATGCTGTAAAGTCAACAAAGCCGCACTTCAGTCAGCCTGCAGCACATCACAGCACCCAGACGCCTTCTGGTGCTAAGGGAGGAGGACTGAAAGGCACCTTGGGGCTGCACACTCACTGCAGAGCTGCTCACGAAGCCCCATCCTATGTCAGCACTGCTGTTCGGGCCGATTCTGCAGCATGGGATATCTCCAGATCCTGTCTCTCTGTAAGCCCTCAGGAACACAGCTACTGCCAGAAACCCGGTACTTCAGCATTAAGGATTTGCAGGTTCATACATCTGCCTTAACGCAATCTAAATAAATAATGCCGCTGCAATTTTCATGACTTTTAGTGCAACGCAAAGTTGGTAAATATATTTACTTTAATGTAAACCTTTATACAAAGCAGCTGTAAAGGAGCTGCCTTAGATCCAATTGTAATTTCACAGAAACTAGCACCAAAATGGAACCTTTTAGATGGCAGCAGCTGCCTCTCCTCATTACTGCTCTATTCACTTTTATCACTGTGGCATTGGGAACCTCAGTCACAGCTGGGGACTCCGCTGTGCTCCGTGCTGTACAAACACAGAACAAAGGCAATCCCCTGCCTTCAGAGGGCTGCGAGCTGACGCCGAAATGAATGCTGGAGGGACAGAAAAGAGGAGGAATCCCAAGGGGAGAGGCAGCGCTATCAGTCAGCGTGACTGATAGAACTGAACTTGCCAGCTTTTCTGGAGACACTATTAAAAAGGAGGGCGAGGAAGGACAGGGAAAATAATCAGCGCACGCTGCAGACAGAGAATGAGAGAAAATGCAGCTCGCGTGCAGGGGTGGCGGTGTGGGGCTGCGCACAAAGAGCGGGGCTGGGAGCCCCGGTGCAGCAGCGATGGGACCGGGGCAGCGGGACCCGGACAGCCGCTTCCCAGCAGCCAAAGCACGCTGTGCGACAAGCTGCGGGTGCCCCATCCTGCCGGTAGTCAAGGCCAGCTTGGATGCGGCCCGGACCTAGCGGTTGTAGCGGCCGGCACCCCTGCCTGCAGCAGAGGGTTGGAACCGGGTGACCTTCGAGGTCCCTTCCAACCCAACCGTTCTGCTATTCTATGACTGTTCTGCTTCATTTCGACCGAGCGGAGCCGCTCGCCGCGCGCGCAGCGTACCGGAGCCGCGGCTGATCCGCAAGATCCCGTGGCAGCGCGGGGGGCAGAGGGGGACAGGGAGGCGCAGAGCGGCACCGTGGGCTCCGGGCGAGCAGGACGTCACAGCACGCAGCGGCGGGGGGCTGCGGGGAGGAGCCGGGCAGGGAGGGCCGGCCCGAGGCAGCGGCTCCTGCCTCCGAACCACCGCTCCGCACCGGGCTCGGGGCGTCAGAGCGGTACCGGCCGAGAGCGAACGCGCCAAGTTCCGCCGAGCCAGCCGGCAGGCGGTTATTGGAGCAGCTTATCGTGCGCTGCGCTACCGGCAGCTGGGGGAAAAGAGCCTGGAAGAAGCTCATCGCAATTACAGCTGCTTCTCCTCCGGAACCGAGCGCTGCGGCATGCGGCACACCGCGCCGAAGGCGGCCCGCAATGCGGCACTGCGGGCTGGGCTGCGCTCCCCGCCGCCGCTCGGGCCCGGGCACGCCGAACCCCGGCTCCACGCCTCTGCCGCACTACGCGACAACGCGCTCCACGTCCCGGGCGGCGCCCCGCTCCTACCTGCCGCCCCGCCGCGCACCGACCGCCGGCGCTCCCGCCGCCATCTCATACCTGCCGCCCCGCCTCCCCATTGGCCCTCCGCGCCACCCCGCGGTCCCGCCCCTCCCGGTTTGCCCGTCACTATTGGCTGGAGGCGCTACCGCCTCGCTACCATTGGTCGGTTCGAACGGACAACGGGCGATCCGCACGTAGGGAAACGGACACACACACCCCCCCGCGCGCGCGGTGCACGATGGGAGTTGTAGGCGGGAGCGGCCGCGCTGAGCCTCGGGTCAGGGCCTGGGATCGCGGGCTCCTCGCGGCTCCGGGCACGAGCTCGGGAAGGAGGAGGGCACGGAGGCGGGCGCTTTTCTTCGTGCGTGGAGGCTGCCGCCTTGCCCTCGGCCCCAGCACCGCTGAAAGCTTTCTACACGGGGGGCTTGCACCCAACGCTCAGGAAACGACCAAGGAGAGAAGACTTTTTAGATACTGCACGCAGAAGCGGAGGTCAGAACGCTGAGCAGGCTGGAAATCAACCCGGCAGTTTCTGTAATTGACTGGATTTCGGCTGGCGCGGTCCCTTGGCATCCTAAGCCCCGCACCTCATTATCTCCCGCCAATCATCGCACCGAGGCTCTGCTACCGCCCCCACGAGGGCCTTCCCAGCCCCGCGCCTGGCTGTGTGACCACCCGCAGCCCCCGCCGGCTGCTCCGCACCAGCGAGGAGCCCCAGAGGTGCTGAACACTGAAAGCAAAGCCTCCCTCCAGTGCCCTGTTCTGGGCTTCTCTGCATCTCAGGGCAGGTGCAGAGAACTGGGAGGTCAGATGAAGGACAGCCCGAAGGACTGCAAAATATCGGCGGCTGGCAGCCGCGGGAGTCAGGACCTCGCATCACCCCTTACCCTGCCCCACAGCAGGGCTCTGGGGACACAGTGGGACCCAGAAGCCAGGGACAGCTGCTGGTGGGGAGCTGCTTGACTTGGAGCCAGCCTCCCTGGACACGATGACGTCTCCCCTCCAAGGGTTTCTATTGCGTTACATGATTAATTAGCTGATTAACAAGATGTTGTGGAAGAATCTGTTCTCTGGACACCGGCTCAGGCAACACTCTGTGCTAATAGAACTCTTCTGCTCCACGCAGGGATGCACTAATGTAAGCAACAACACGCAAATGAAGAACAATGCAGTGAGTAATCTGGAGCTTTTAAATGAATTAGCATCAACCTTCTCCAGGCCTTATCTCCAAGAAAAACAACAAAAAAACAAAAAACAGAAAGAGAGCTCTGAGGGGCTCACAGATGCTGGTTACAGGTGTTGGCTAGCTTGGAAAGCAATTGCACATTTTCTCACTGTCCCGCCCTCAGGAGATGAAGGGTATCAGGGCAATGGGGCTTTAGCTGCTGCCACATGGCATAACATGGCTGAACATGGACAGGAGGTTCTGCTGGAGCTGCCTGTCTTGCAAGCCAAGGCTGCAAGCTGCCTTCTGGCAGGATAAGAGCAGCAGCACTTGGGTTCAAGGGTCCAAGAGAGACCCTGGGCAGTGCAGGATAGGGATAGTTCTCCAGCCAAGGCGTAGCAATACCAGTGCAACAGCTCCTCAGCTTTTAAAGGGATCTTGAAAAAAAAAAAAAAAAAAAGAAAACAACCAAACAAAAAGAAGCAGAGCCACAAACTGGATTTGCAGCCTACAGAAAGCAGCCCACAGTAAGAGGCTGAACAAGCACAATCCCTTTAGCTTATTAGGAGACTGAAAAGCGTTGCAATTCCAGCATGTAAGCTACCATGATAGGAAATGACAAAGGACTAAAGGCTTTTTAATACAAAAGAGGAAGAAAGATATGTTCACAAATACATGCTCTTTGCATTGTGAGCCATGGGACCTGTATCCTCTATTTGCTACCCTCAGCTCCACTCTTTTCTTCAGCATGCTTTGGCCAAACACCATCTTTTGGGCTCAGAGCAGAAAGAACTGGGTGAAAACAGCTGCTCATCCAACCTGGGCAGCTAAAGATCCAGAATTACTTGTGCTGCTGGGATGTGGTCAGAGCAGAGAAAAGGCTCCATCTCAGCTCTCCCAGGTAAGACAAAAGCCCAGACAGTGAGGTTAGCAGCAGCAGTTTTTCAGCCAGAAAAAAAACATTGCAGCAAAACCTTTTCTGCCTTGCAGTAAGGGATGGGCAAAGCAGATGCAGAACCAGTGACAGCCACAGGACAGACACCACAGAGGGCTCCTGCTCCAGGTCCTCCATCCCAGGACCTGCTGCACTGTAGGGGACATGCTGTGTGAGGTGTTTGTAGGAAAGAAAGGAGGAGTCCAGGCTGAATATTAACAGGAGATGTTTGTCAATACAGAGCTCATTACATGTTATTTACTTTCTCACACACACACACACATACACACACACACCTGCAGCAGTCACCTTACATCACCTTCTTTCAGGCACAGGAGGACAGGGCTTGGGCCAGGAGTCCACAGAGGTAGCTTCCTAGGGAGCCTGCCCTCACAAAGTCCCTGTACCCCAGTGCCTCTCTCTCCACCTCAGGTTATCACCAGTCCTCAGGCAGGTGCACAGAGCATCCACAGCTCCTCAAGGGCGACGGTCCTTCAGCCGGTTCTTGCGGCCAGCCTTGGCCCCACGCTGGGCACCCTTCATCAGGCCCTTGAACTGGCCTTGCATTTTTGCCTGCTTCCTGGAGGGAGGGAGGAGCAAGCAGACAGGTTAGCGTGGGTACAGGGCACAGCCCCTGCACAGGCCTGTGCAAAGTGGCTGCAATGAGCAACATGGAGGTGGGAAGGGAGCCCTCAGACCATGAAAAATGGTAACAACAATGAGCAGGATCAGACTCAGGATATCCCCCATTCCCTACCCCACGCCTTTCCTGCTCAGTCCCACCTTTTGTTGAGTTTAGCTCTGTTCAGGGGGATGTAGGCATAGGGGTCGAGCTGGCCCTTCTTCTTCACATCACCTTTGCCTTTCTGTAGGAGATACCAACATTGGATGAGATGCAGCACAAAGGGAGATGTGAGTGTTCCATTCTGGACAGCCCTGGTACACAGTCACATCAAAGGCTACGCTGCAATGGGGTGCCAGCTGAGCACGTGGCTCCCAGGGCTGATTTCCCACCCAAGTGATGCCACAGCACCAAGCACATGGTGTGAGTAGTGAGCAGGAACTGCCAGGCAGGTTGGAAATATTAATGAGTACTGAGCATTGGGCAACTCCTTTTGGAGCACAGATGCCCCCCAGCGCTTCCTTGCCCCCAAGACCAGCAGAAATCCTGCCCCAGCAGAGCCAAGACATCTCTCCTCAAAACCCTGCCACCTCTTGGGCGCTCACCTTGGATCTGTACTCTGCACCAAAGGCTGGCTTCTTGTCCAGTGGCCTGTGGATCCCAGAGCCTCCAGCTAGAAAAGAATGAGTGTTGGAAAGAGGTGTCAGGGCCAGGCTCCTCCTCCCCAGCTGCCATACTGGGGGAGCTGTTCCTGTTTCTGCCCCCAGCTCTTAGGTGCGAGGACAGGAGAGCAACACAGAAGTGCAATAACTTTACAGAAGCAAGGAACTCAGAGCCAGCCATCTTGGAGCAGCCCAGCCTGTTCTGGCAGCTGCAGAGTGCACACAGGCAGGACATGCAATTACCTCTGTACTGAGAGTAGGTGCCCGTCTCTGGTTCATCATCATCTGCCTCTTCTCTGAACCGACGCTTCTGGCTTTTCTTCTGCAGAAGAAAGATACGGGGTCACTGCAGCTAGCTTGTCCTTACAGTGCTGTCCTTCCATGGACCCACGACCTCCTGCTTATTCTATGGGGCCCAGAGACCTTCCACACCCACCACACATCCTCTGTCCCACTGCAGCCTCCTGCCCCACTCTAAGCAGCTCCTAGGCAGTCACAGCTCAGGCATGCCATGTTTCCCCCGCGCCCCATACTCACACTGCGAAGGCCCACTTCTTGCAGCACATCTGCCACTTCCTCGTCCACTCCTGGGGCACAGGACAAGGGAGTCAGTGCATGCATACAGATGGGCAGGAAGAAAACCATACTGTGTGTCAGAGCAAGTCCAGTTAGACAGTACCTTTGGCTTCATCATTGTCCACCTCCTCCTCCTCATCGTGGATGATCAGGCGCCCATCCTCAGACACCTGGAAGTCATGCTTCACTCCTCTGGACTTTTTCAGGCTTGGCTCGGTGGCTACACACAGAGATGAGTCAGAGCCTGGAGAAGGACCCACTCCCCAGGTACCCCACTACAAAGGCTCTGTTGCTCACCCAGCACCCGCTGGGACACATTGGGGTCCAGGAAGTTGAGAGGCTCATCCTCTTCCCCTTCTTTCAGCCATGCCTGGCCCTTCTGCCGTGCTTGTTTCTTCCGCACCTTGCCCCGCTGCCGTTCCTCCTCTTCCTCCTCTTCCTCCTCTGAGTCTGCCAGGATCTCCTCCATGCTGGGCACAAGGCAGAGAGCACAATGCAGATGGAGCAAGGCAGAGATGCAAGCCCCAGCCTGCCCACAGCACCGTATGCCAATGCCAGTGATGTCCTCAGCATCTCTACAAGTGTCAGCCAAACAGATCCAGCACCAGGCCCTCTGCTGAGGCTTCACCCCAGCCCATCTCTACCTGTCTCCTCTGGGCTGGGCTGGTGCTTCCTCCTCCTCTGCCTCTGCAGCTGCTTGCCTCAGGGCACGCTGCTTGCGGCTGCGAGCTTCAGCCTTGCGGATGTTCACCAGAACCTTGTGGAACTCAGCTGGCAGCAGTCCCTGCACCAGCTCAAAGCTGGGGGGACAAAAAGCGATCAGTTCCTGCAGTGCAGTGCAGGAACTCCCACAGTGCCCAGCACTGCTCCCAGCAGCCCCGGCTCACCCGAATTTGCGGATGAATCTGGTGAAGAGGTTTCTGAGCTTCATGCGGAAGTGGCGCCTCATGTCATCTGAAAGGCTGCCTATAGCCTCCAGCTGTCAGCACAGACACACCTCTGAGGTCAGAGACCCCTGTCCTGAGCATCTGGTCCCTCACCCTTCTCCTGCACCCCTCTTGCCACCTCCCTGCATCACTCACACCTATTCTACAGCAGTTCAGATGTGCCCTGCCTCCCCGTGCAGTGCTCTCACCATAGTCTGGACGTGCTTG